TGAAACTACCAAGGTCCCATAGGAGAAAGATGAGGCTTTCTGCTCCCATAAAGATTTATAGCCTCAGAAACCCTATTCAGGGTCACTGTGAGTCAAAACTGAGTCCATGGCACACCACCACCACCACCACCAATGAGGTCAACTCAGGGTATGGTTGATCCTAAGCTCCATCACTTTTGAGTAATATAAGGGGCAGCTGAGTCCATGGACTGCCAGAAGAATGAGCAAATCTGTCTTGGAAGAAGTATAGCTAGAAAGCTCCTTAAAAGTGAGGATGTTAAAAAAAAAAAAAAAAAAAGTGAGGATGGTGAGATTTTGCCTCATGTATTTTGGACATGTTATCAGGAGGAGCTAGTCCTTGGAGAATGACATCATGCTTGGTAAAGTGAGGGTTAGTGAAAAAGAGGAAGACCCTCAAGGAGATAGATTAACACAGTGGCTTCAACAATGACCTTAAACATAATAATGCTGGTGAGAATGGAACAAGACTGTTCAGTGTTTCATTTTGTTGTACGCAAGGTTAATATGAGACAGAACTGACTCAACGACACCTAACGACAAACTGTGAGAAAATATATCTCTCTTCTTTAAAGTCATTTACTTGTAATATTTCTGTTACAACAACACTAGTTAACTGAGACACTAGTTAAATAAGAATGTATGGGACCTGGATGAAGGTAGAATCTCCAGTGAGTAGTATTCAATCTGACTAGCCGGGTCTGATGCAATGAAATGCAGACGGGTCTCTTGTGATACAATAGTGAATAATTGTTATCAGGACTGATTGTGAGGGTTGGAAATGTAAAGGTAGACGTTTTATAGCAAGGAGGGGAGTGATTAACTTTTCAGTCTAGGAGCGGAGGTCCCTAGGACCATCAAGGGAGAAGAGCAGAGTGCAGGACCCTACCCAGAGAAGTAGTGATGCCTGAAATGGAGGCAGAGATGATGCCATGGAGCAATGGAGCAGCTGGAGACTTTAGATCCAGAAAGGGAGAGTGACTGTGTGCTGAAGACCTGGGGGTTACGGGGGAAGGATTGCATGGAGGGGCTTGTAACCATGGCAATGAGACGATATACAATAGAATGAATGTAAAACCAATGTTCTCCCATGTAAACTATCACATAATTCGCAATAAAACATTAAAAAAAAAAAAAAAGAAATAAAGGCCTGACACGGATGAACCATGAAAAAAAAAAAGAATGTATGGCATGGGCTCAGCACTGAGCAAGGCAAATGGTAGGTGTTTGGTCCACAGTGGGGTCTGCTATGTCAGGGGGAAGAACCGTCCCATGGAAGAAAGATGATGCCAGGGAGAAGAGTACACACAGAGGCTCAGAGGTGAATAAGAACCAGGGGAGCTCTGCAGGCACCTGTAAGATGCTGGCAGGGACCCAGGTAAAGTTCTGGGTGTAAGATGAGAATTTACACAGGCCTCACTGTAGCTCCTACCAGACACTCAGTCCTGAGCCACCAAGTCCCCCAGAAGCTGTAATTATCAATACCTCTATGGTGCAGAGGTTGGGAGAAGTGACAGCTCTGTGATCACCAAGACAAAGTGTTGTTGTTAAGTACTGTCAAGTTGACTCTGACCCATAGCGACCCTGTATAGGGTTTCCAAGGAGCAGCTGGTGAGCTTGAATCGCCAACCTTGCAGTTCAGATGCCTTTGCAGTCTGGTGCATTAACCCACAGCGACACACCAGGACTCCTAAGACAAAGTGTGCAAGAACCTAAAAGGAGATCAGCTCTCTCTGACCTTTCCTACCTGTAACAGGGCATCCCACCTTATTGAACCGTCACAGAACACAATGCCTCAAATGTGAAGGGAACTTTCCCTGGCCTCAAAGACTAGACTGGAAGCAACACTGGAAGAAGTTAAAGGGCTGTTGAACTCCAGAAGTACACAGACCTCACTATCAGACTGCAATGCCCTTTGGAAGGCTATGGACGATCTTCTGACCTTCCCATCTCCAGGTAGGTGGCACAGACACTGGGCTGGGTACACAGAGGACTTGGGCTTTACCTTACCAGAAAACAGGCCAGCCTGGTGGAGGGTGGAGTAAGCCCTCATGGTGGTCCTTTTTTCTCACCTCCCTTGCTCTTCTCCCACCAGCAGCCTCCACTCAGAATTCATTTGACTCCTCTCTCTTTCCATAGCTCCAAAATGTGAGCCTGCCTCCCTTCTGGGGAATAGGCTGCCCCCTTGACATTGGGAGGATGGGGTCAGAGTGCCCAGAGACACTGGAAGCAGAATCTACAGGTTTTAAATCCCTGCTCAGATATGTCTTTGACCATGGAAGTGCTGCTATCTCTTCAAGCTGTTTGCAGGACGTGCAAAGATGAACCCAGAAAGGGCAGATCAGGACTTCCCAGGTTACCTAGAGGGCAGAGGTCCTCCAGATAAACCCATCCCCTACACCTTCCCTCGTGGCGGCCTCAGATAGGGCCTCATCCTGCCGCGCGCACGCCAAACATCCTGCTGTGAACACCCTCCCTCCCAGATCAACTCTGCTCACGCCCCAGCTATGATCTCTCCACGGAAGCCTCTTTGCCCAGGCTCCAGAGGATGCTCAGGAGCTTCTTTGAGCACCTTGGCTTAGAAGGAGTTGCACAATGCCTGGGAGAGTATATGGGGGCAGATCACAAGGGACATGGAGTCAGGAGTAGGAAAACGGGAGGGCAGAAAGACACCGCTCCCTTCACCCCTTTTCCCCATCCTAGCCTCCAGCTCGGGGACATAGGGAGCCGGACACAGGTAAGGCAGCCAGCGGGAAGAGGCGCAGGTCACGCCGCCCGCGGGAGGGGGTTAGACGCAGGGGCGTAAAGGGCTCGCGGAAATCCGCTCCCAGGGGGCGCCGGAAGGGGCGCGCGGAGCGGTTGGCTGAAGTCCCGGCGGCGGCGGTTGGTAGCGGCGGCCTGAGCCAGGTGAGGTCAGGCGTCTGGCCAGGCCGCGACCACCATGACCAAGGACTATCCCGGCCCCTTAGGGGGCGGCCGTTCGTCACTCAAGAAGCCAGGGAGCCCGGGCCGGGGGACAGCGGTGCGGGAGGAGTCGAAGCGGGAGCTGGAGAAGCTTCGGACTGAGTTGGAGAAGCTTCGGGCTGAGCTGGAGGCTGAGCGCGCTCGCGGACGGGCGGAACGGCGGCGCTTTGTTGCCCAGGCACGCCAGCTGCGAGAGGCGGACGAGCGGGAACGGCAGCAGATGGTGGACCAGCTGCGCTCCAGGTGGGAGGCACAGCGAGGCCGGGAGCTGCGGCAGCTTCGGGACAACGTGCTGCGGGAGCGCGAAGCCGAGATCCGGCAACTGCTTCGCTGGAAGGAGGCAGAGCTGCGGCAGCTGTATCAGCTGCTGCGTCGTGAACGCGACGGCGTCGTGCGCCAAGCTCGTGAGCTGCAACGCCAGTTGGCCGAGGAGCTAATGAATCGCGGCTACTGCGGTCGCGCGGGGGCGACCGATTTGGCGACTGCGCATTGCAGCTGTCGCCTGCAAGACGTGCTGGCGCAACTGCGCTGGGAGACCGACGGTGAACAGGCCGCGCGCATCCGCCACCTGCAGGAAACATTGGACGTGGAGCGCCAGCTCTTCCTCAAGTACATTCTAGAGCACTTCCGCTGGCGCCCCACTTTGCCTGAGCCCCGGAGTCCCCAGACTGAACCGGCCTCGGAAAACCCGCCGCCTGAGACCGCCAGCCGTCACTCAGAGCCAGCCTGTCCAGGCGGACTCCTCCATCGACAGATCACTGGCATCCATATGCGCTCCCGTTCCCTTGACTGGGAGGTGCTACCGGTGCGCTCCACCTCCCGGGACGGTCAACTCCCCACCCGCGCCAGTTCCCTAGATTCCTTGGGCACCGCGCGGTCCCGCTCTCTCTACAGCTCCCGGAGTCGTCCCCAGACCACTGAACCTGAGGAACTGGCCTCCTCGACAAATGCCTCCATTCCGGGTTCCTCTCCGCCGCCACCATCACCGCCATCGCCTCAGCCCTCGCTCTTGCCACCGTCTGAGCACCAAAAAACTAGCGACCCGCGGAGTGGAGAAGTCTCAGGGAGGCCTTGCGAGGCCCTGACCACCTCGCCTTCGGGCCTGGACTACCCTGAGCTGGTGAAGCGGAACACGGAGCTGACGGAGGCCCTGAGAGTGCTGGACCGCCGCTGCTTCGCCTTGCGCGAAGAGAACAGCCAGCTGCGGCACGCCGGCTTCCCAGACCAGGCGGAAAAGAAGGTCCAGCTGCTCAAGATGAAGAACGCAGAACTGACGGGTCTGGCGCGGCGCTTGGAAGATCGCGCTCGCAAGCTACAGGAGACCAACCTACGGGCTTTGAGCGCGCCGATACCCGGCGAGAGTCGTGCTGACACGGAGCTGTGCCAGGCCTTTGTGAGCCAGAGCGCCCGGGAATTGACCGAGCAGGCGAGCGCACTTGTGGCCAAGGACAGACAGATAGAGGAGCTGCAGCAGAAGTGCCACCTGCTACAGGTGCACGTCGCCGCAGGCCTTGGCATTGCTCCTCTTCCTGTAAGGGGCGCCTCCGGCGGCGCACTGGAACTCAGTACTGGTGACTTGGAGCGGCTGCTGCGCGAATCCCAGCGAGAGGTGTTGCGCCTACAGAGGCAGCTGATGGTGCAACAGAGCCAGAGCAGTTCCCGAGCCAAGGCGGGCAGCCAAAGCGCACTCCGCGAGGAAGCTGGACGCCGCCAGGTGCAGGAGTTAGAGCGTGAGCTAGATGCAGGGAGACGCCAGTGCCAGGAGTTGGACTCTCAGGCGGCGGCTGTGCAGAGGCGAGGCGAAGAGGCCGAGGTGCAGCTGCAGGCGGCGCTGCGCGAGGGCGTTTGGCTGGCAGAGGACAATGCGCGGCTGCAGGCCCAGACCAACTGGGGACGGAAGGTGGAGGCGGAGAAGAACGACGTGCTTGGGCAGCTGGGCCACGCGTGCCAGGAGCACGATACTGCGGACCTGCTGGCAGAGAAGCTGTTTCAGCAGACGGCGCGTGGGCAGGACAGGCAGCTGCAGCAGCAGGACCTGCAAAAGGCCCTGCCAGACCTTCAGGCTGCCCTGGAGATAATGCAGACACTACAGTGCCAGTCACATGAGGTCACCCAAGTCCCCAAGTCTCAAGCAGGGGACAACAGAAGGTCCAAGTTTCAGCCAGGACTTGAAGACCAAGCACTGCCTCAGCCCAACAAGGATACGCAGAAGACAGAAACCTCATTGTCAAAGAGCCCTGTTGTCCTTGGAGAGCCAGCCAGTGTTCCCCAAGTACCAACCAGAGCCCCTGCAGATGAGCTTCCAGACTGTAGGCTCCAGGCCAAGAAAGCCAGCTCCAATTCCTTCTCAGAAATGGAGTCCGTGTGGGCTACTGTACCTTTCTGCCCTAATCTGTCCTTGGACACAGCTAGCGAAGTGGATGACCTAGAACCAGACAGTGTGTTTCCAACCTTGGACATAGGGGGCTTAGAGGCCCATGCTACCACCAAGCTCAAGGTCTTCCTTGCTCGGTATAGCTACAACCCTTTTGAGGGACCCAATGAGCACCCAGAAGGGGAGTTATCTCTCACGGCTGGGGACTACGTGTACATCTTTGGGGATATGGACGAGGACGGCTTCTATAAGGGGGAGCTTGAGGATGGTCGACAGGGGCTAGTGCCCTCCAACCTGGTAGAGCCGGTCTTGGATAATGACATTCTGCGCTGTCCCTCCCTCAAGTCCCCCAAGTGTGACTCTGTTTCACACTTGGACACAGCTTTGCAAGAAGACACTCATCTCAGCTTGTCACCTGGGAAAGCCCAGGCTGCAGTGGACAGAGGGTCATATCCAGTGGTTAGTGTGGTCTCCAAGACAAAAGTGGCAGTGGGGATCTTGGATGCTGACATGGAAGCCAGCCAGCTGGACTTGCTGCATAGCCTAGGGGAACAGGGTTGCTCCAGGGCCCTTTTAGGGGGCAGGTGGCCTTTCTGTGTGACTCCCACGCAACTAGGGTTTCAGAGCATCACAGCCACATCTGTCAAGATCACCTGGGTCAGCAAGGACAGCATCCATCCCCACATAGTGTACCTGGATGACCAAGAGCAGGCACTGACCCCGGCAGGTGTAAGCTGCTACACCTTCCATGGCCTGCGCCCCGCCACTGAATACCAGGCACGGGTGGAGGTACGGCTGCCACCACACTTGCTACAGGTACACTGCAATAAGATGTCCTCTACCATCACCTTTGCCACGCCCTTGGCCGGACCTCCTGACCCCCCACTGGACGTACTGGTAGAGCGTCACTCCTCACCAGGCCTGCTGGTGGTCAGCTGGCTCCCCGTGACCATAGACTCAGCTGGATCCTCCAATGGGGTCCAGGTCACGGGCTATGCTGTGTACACAGATGGGCTCAAGGTTGCCGAAGTGGCCAATGCCACTGCTGGGAGCACCCTGCTTGACTTTTCTCAGCTGCAGGTTCCCTCTCTGTGCCAGAAGGTCTCTGTGAGAACCATGTCCCTTTGTGGCGAGTCCCTGGATTCGGTGCCAGCCCAGATTCCTGAGGACTGTTTTACCTGTCACCGATTGCTAGAGACCTCTCCCTTTGGCTGTACCCATGGTGATCTGTCCACCTGCAGAGTCACCTTTCCCTTATGCCCTTGGAAGCTGATGTTGGCTCCTTTGAGTTCCAAGACTAGCTCCCATACCCCTGAAAGCTGTGGGGAGCTGCAGGTGGAGCTTCCGGAAGCATTTTCTGAAGAATCCTCAAAGAGGTGGTCCCCAGTGACCAGCCTGGGTTCAGAAGGAGCGTGTCTAAGTTCAGGGGCTGGCAGCCAAGCCCAGGGGCCCCGAGAGGCCTGGGAGGACAGTGGGAAGGACCTGCTCTTCCAGAAGAGTCTCCAGGAACAAAAGTCATCCCTGCCCAGTGACCAGTCTTCAGGGCAAGAAAACCACTACCATGACATGGGTACCAGCAAAAGCCCCTCTCCAGAACTTGCCCATCTCTCTGCTGAGTATGGGCCCAGCAAAGTGCTGGGTTGGTACAAGCCTCCCTTGGAAAAGGTCCTCAGACAAAAGCAAGTGGCCCAAGTGTCCAGTCCTGTCCAGTGGGGTCCCAATCAGCAGTACATGTCTGGCTGCCCCAAGCTGTTGGCATCAGAAAAGGAAGTATGCTTACACATGTGGGGCACAGAGCAGCAAGAAGAGAGAGAGGCCCTCAGTGCCCAGAACAAGCATGGTCAGACGCTAGCAGGCAAGTCAGAGCACCAGGTCCATGAGCCCAGCTCAGTGCTCTGTCCAGCTCAGTCCAGCAAAGACATCAACATGTCCTGGGTTGATCCCACATGCCTGAGACAGGGGGTAGACTCTCCTGCTAGGGTCTTTGTGGCCCTCTTTGATTATGACCCCCTGGTGATGTCTGTGAACCCTCACTCTGCAGAGGAGAAGCTGGCCTTCCAGAAAGGGCAGCTGCTGAAAGTGTGGGGGTCTCAGGACCCCAATGGCTTTTACCATGGTGAATGTAGTGGGCAAGTGGTTACCATCCCCGGGCACCTGGTGGCCGAGGCAGAGTGGACTGATGAGAGGTGTCCTCTGCTGGCTCAAGAGCACCTGCACTCTGTGACCTGCCTTGACAATTTTGGGGGGCTTACTGGTCACCAGAGTTCCTTCCCCATGGCCCAAGGGAAACCCAGGAGTCCCCCACTGTGGACTTCAAAGACCATGATGGCAACTCTGGACTATGATCCCAGAGATAGGCGAGGTGGAGACCGGGTGAAGGACAAACTAGTGCTGAGGGCAGGGGACATGGTCACAATCTATGGGTCTGTGGATGACCAGGGATTCTACTACGGGGAGTCAGGAGGTCACTGGGGCCTGGTCCCAGCCCACCTGCTGGATTACATGTCCTTCCATGCCCATACCAAGGGAGTGAAGCTCCAGCTGGGGTAAAGCTTCTGACCCCCCATGCTTAGCCCAAAAAGACAGCACACACGCAGACCCTCACACCTACCCTTTATAATCTCCATAAGCACCATCTACCCCAAGTTCCATGGTGCTAATCCATGGCATCGGTAAGTGTCCCCTTCCCAATCAGTCTCAGGGTTTACTCTGAGCTGACTAGTTTCCATAAGAAAATGAAATTCCAGGCCATAAGAAAAATGAAACTCCAGGCCCCAAGAATCTGTTGAGTTGTTACAGGTCATCAGTTAACTATACTACGTATTTTGAGAAGTGCTCTTTTCTGTGGCCAGTATGTGTTTTCTTGAGGAGCTTAACATTATTCATCCATTTCCTTGTATGAAATCTCAAGAAAAATCTACATCTTAAAAAAAAAAGTGATCAGAGTGTTATTTTTTCTATCTCATGCTCTCATGTGCAGCCCCTCATTAAAATGTTTATAGAAAAACAGTCATATTTTAAAAATTAAAACACAAACAAGGGAAACAGGAGCTTACCTCCTCCCTTGCCCTCTCTCTTCTATTCTGGGTACCTTTTTAGGAGCAAAGAACACACCCAGACTCTCTGGGGTGAGCCCAGCTGGGGGTCTGCCAACCACTGCTCTGCAGTGGGGGTAGCCCCTGGAAGACTGAGAAGAAGGCTCTGAGACTCCCTAAGAGCTTGATTACTGTGAGCCTGTGATGGCATCTTTGACTGGTGCCCTTTTCTGCATGGCTGCCCCTTTTCCCCAGGAGTTTTGCAGGGTCGTCCCTGGGAGGTTGTACTTATCCTTGCCCCATTTTATAGACGAGCCACTTGAGGCTCAAAGGAACCCCCTTGTTGAAGGTCATGTTGTTGTTATGTGCCGTGGAGTCGGAACCGACTCATAGTGACCCTGTACAGGGTTTCCGAGGGTGTAAATCTTTACGGGAGTAGAAAGCCTCATCTTTCTCCCGCGGAGCAGCTGGTAGTTTCGAACTGCTGACCTTGCGGTTCACAGCCCGAGTCGTAACCACTACACTACCAGAGCTCAAGAATTGCTTTCTCTCTTGATCTTTCCAGCTCCTCTAGGAGGGTGGGGGTGAAGGGTGGTCTAGTGGACCTATCATTTGACTCAGCTTCTGTTTGATTCCCATCAATGATGTCAGGAAAGGGTAGTTCCTGGTTGAGTTATGAAGAGGACTTCCACGAAAGCTGCTGGCTCGCAACAGGTCCCCATGTCTCTAGAGGTTTTCTAGAGTCCTTGGGCACTTATACCCACTGTCCCCAGCTCTATCCAGGAGGCTTCCCACAGTTTGCCCTATATTGGGCAACCTGAAGTCAACTGGACCTTCTGGTGAGGATTGAGCTGATAACCCTGATGCCATGGGGTATTTGAGGATCACCGCAACGCAATACTGCCACTTGCCCTCTTTAGAGGCATGGCTTTGGACCACATCTGCATTTATTAAAGGTACTGTGGGAAGGTAGCATGTTCTTAGAGTCAGGCCCATGGGGAAAAGAACAGGAAAGACTGGAGAACAGGGCTGGTCTGCAGGACTAGGTTCCAAGGGATTTACCAGGATATCCCTAAAACTAAAGTTAGGAACTAGGAAGGGACATCCCCTGGGCTGAAATACTCAATAAACAAGGTAAGCACATACTTAGGTCATCAACAAAACCATGGTACCAATGTCTCCTTTGCCCTCGATGGCCCTTATTTCACCAAAGGTATCTTCCTCTAGTAAACATATCTTGATCCCTCCTGTGAGGGCAAGTGGGTCACACAGTGTTCTGTTGTGATTCATAGGGTTTTCATTGGCTAATTTTCAGAAATGGGTCACCAGGTCTTTTTTTTCCTAGTCTATATGAATCTGGAAACTCCACTGTAACCACTCTCCACCATGGGTGACCCTTCTGATATTTGAAATGCTGGTGACAAAACTTCCAGCATCACAGCAACACTCAAGCTACTCACCAGGTAACAGGAGCAGATTACCCAATTAGCAAGGTAAGCACATGCTTAGGGTATCCATGAAATAAAGACACCAGTTGTCCGAAGCAAAGCCCCATAGATGCCAAGCAGACAGGGCACAAGACAAAGTAAGCACCACAGTGGAAGGGAACTGTAGGGCACTAAGTAAAACTGATACCAGCTGGAATGCAAGAGAATGTGCTGACTGAAAATAAAGTTCATGTAGAGTCTCCAGGGTACCCACGGGCAAGTTGGTAAGCTATAAGGCCCATACCACTTTAACACCTTTGTTGACATCTGTTACCTATGGTCCCCACCCATGTAGTTGAAACTCATCTTGGTGGATCTCTTGTATTTGAATGTATGATTTCTTTCTAATAAGAGATTGGGATAGGCTGCTGAGTCTAACACTTGCTACATTCATCTACTATGCAATTGGATCCAACATGGGTGGTTACTGGGCAAGGATGGATTATGCTGATAACATAATAGATCCATTATGGGAGATGGATAGAATTTTACATGAATGGTTGAAGCAGTTACATTCACTGACTAATTTTCTTTGTTGAAGAATATTCCTTTTATAGAAAATATGGTGTATGAAGGGGTTTCAAAAGGAAAAATTATAGTATCTTTTGATTCCATTTATCCACAAACTTTTTTTTCAATTTATTTTTATTGAGGAATAATATACCTACAATATTATGCTCATAACAAATGTACAATTTGTTGAGGTTCAACAGTTGTATACACCATGAAACTAGATACAGAACATAGAGATCAACCCAGAAAGTCCTCTAATAATCTTTTTTTTTTTCCTGCTCCTCCCTTTACTTTTTTCTTTTCTTTTTTTTTTTTTAATTTAAGGTTTTATTGTGGGTTGAGTGAAAGTTTACAGGGCATATCATCAGTTTTACATTCAACAAATCATATACCTTGTTTCATTACATTGATTATAATCCCCTCCATGTACCATCAGTTAACAGTATTTCTCTCTATCCACTTTAGCTCTTTTTAAAAAAACACACAAACAAAAAAACCCACTCAGGCATATATAATAATTTACATCTCCAAAGGGCACATTCTGCAAGTCTGTCTCCTGGCCACCAGCTCTCTTAGTCCTTCTTTTCTTAGTTGATGAATCTAGAGTCCTCAGCCGCTCCCCCTCTCCATGCCCCCATCTCCACCTTCTTCTCTGGCGCTGCTGCTTCTCTGGATAAGGTCCTGCATTCTGCTTGTGCATTCCTCTCTTGAT